TTTCAACACCCATAATGACCTATCGTTTCATTTCTGCTCCAACATCTAACCTCCCCCTCAACATATTGCCACGTGACCACGATGCACTGTCTACCACCCTTACCCTGTCTTTTCCACTTCAAATCATCACTTGACACGCCGCCTCTTGAGCCCCGCGCCCTTCCGCTCGGCCTTCCCGTACGGTCGCCCCTCCTCACGGTCGGCCCTTTCGCTCGGCTTTCGCGCGCGGTCCCCCCTCCTCTCGGTCGGCCCCCCGCTCGGCCTTCGCGCGTGGTTGCCCCTCCTCCTGGTCCGCCCCTCGTTCGGCCTTCGCACACAGTCTTCCCTCCTCACGGTCGGCCCTTCCGCTCGGCCTTCGCGCGGTCAGCCCTCCTCACGGTCGGCCCCTCCGCTCGGCCTTCGCGCGGTCAGCCCTCCTCACGGTCTTTCTTTCCGCTCGGCCTTCGCGCGATCGACCCTCTCCACGGTCGGATCATCTCACGCTCGGTCCGCCAACTCAGCCGCCCATCCCGGTCGGACTCATCTTCCTCATACATATTCCCTTCGTTGGACTGAAGCTGCACTCGGGAATGGGGAACTACTGACATGGATAGGCCCACAAAGGCCATAAACCACTATAAACAACCCAAGCCCATCAATCGGAGCCCAATACATAACCCAGCCGATGAAGTCCAGAACAGCTGGAATCCAATATGGCATAAAGAACCAATGGCATTCAGGCATGTGGCGGGTGAAGGACGAGCCACATCAGCAGACAAAGATCTGCAAAGTTATTGCCACGGCACATCACCATTAATGCAGCGCGTCACAACATTTATTACGACAACACCTCCCGTCGGAACAGAGTCCCCTTACCCTGAACAAGGTAAGTTACAGCATAGACTTTCTGCGAGGAGGGCAGGTCGGAAGAGACAGCGAAATGATTACCAAAGGATATAAGCAAACGTTGAAGACAAGAAGAAGGTTAAGCTTTCTATCTCTAATCTCTCCCTCTATACTCTACTTCCCTTCCTAACTTGCTCGTCGGAGGGTTCACTGGGGGACTGCCCCGTTGAACTTGTTTGCAGGTTATCCGGTGGACTTGATCATTTGGACTTGGGCTTGAGGAGCTTGGACCAGTTCACTCCATTCACCGGGACAAACTAAATCATCAAATATCGATATTGATCTTAGTATTATTAATCTCAATTAATGTTAAAAATTTAGTCTGCATATCAAATATATCTGTAAGCAATTATAAAATAGGAGTGGGTTTCACTCAAGCTTACATTTAGAGGGTATTTGGAATGATCTAAATAAGTATATTTTTTAACCTTTTATAAAAAAGATATGCAAAAAATTAAACAGCTAGTGTAACCCAAAAAAAGGTAAGAAGATAAATAAATACACTTTTGTTGGGGATGCCAAATACTGCCTTAAATTTAAAAGAATTCTGTTCAGGCTTGTGGGCTCACCACGTGTCCTGTTTCAATGATCTGAGTTGTTCATTTTGTAAGATTTTTTTGTATATATCATTCATAAAAAAGAAAAAATTAGATTGATTCAATAATTATAACTTTTTCATTTATTATATGTGTGTACAAAAAAAAAAAAAAGTGATTTATTTGAAAAAAACATACCTTTTTTTTTTCCCTTTCAAAAATACACTTGTCATCTATTTTTTCAAAGACAAACAAAGTAAAATTAAAAAAAAAGATACAATTCTCAGATTGAACTATATTTTTCCATTGAATGATATACAAATGGTCCTACAAAATAAACGGTTTGAATAATTAAAATAGAACTAGTGATAAACCTCACAAGCCCGAGCAGTTCTCTCAGAGAAATTGAACCCTTTAAAATATGGGTTTGTCTTCTGTCAAGATCAAATCTTAACTTGAGAGAACTTGAGAGTCACGATAGTCATGTAAATAATTTGAACTGTTCATTTGTAGGGTCTTAAATATATATCATCTATGAAACAATCAAGTCAAATTTATTTCTTGTTTATATTGATAAATTTTTTCACTAATCTATAATTATTTATAAAGAAATTTACTGATATATAATTTTTCCTTTTATTAGCAAGTGAATTAACGAAATCCAAGTAAAAATAAGCTCAAACTTTTACCTTGATCTGCTGCAAGATGATTTATTTGTTTATTTATTACCATTTTATTTTATTCTTGATTTTTTGTTTTTGTTTTTTTGGGTTCTTGAAGCAAGTTATTTAAGATGTTATTTAAATTCAAATGCTATTGTGTATGTTTTAACAATTCAATAATTTATTGCATTAAGACCTTAGAGTAACAAATTGTTACTAATAAATGATTTTGTATTTGTCCAAACTTGATATGATCTTAACATTGGGCCTCTACATTTGTTCAAGCCTGATCCAAAAAATAATTATAAATCTAAAACCCACCCATTGGATTATATGCTAATTTTTTTTTTATAAAATATTTTATAATTATATTCACTCACACATTACATTTCTTAAATAAATATATTGACATCATTATAAATTGAAAGATTGCATATATAAATTGAAGAATTTCTTAAATAAATTTAATCACATATCACCACAAATGCGAATTTCAATAAAATCAACAAAAAAAAAAAAATATTTAATGTATTATAATTAATTAATTTAATAGCAGATCAGGTTGGACCGGGTTGGAAGGATAAATCCCAAACCCAGTCCATTAATATCTCGGATTGAAAATTTTGATCCAACCCAGCCCTATGGGTAAAGTAGTGTTCCCAAGCCTTACAAAATTGTACTAGGCCAGGCAGACTGAACGGGCTAACGAGCTGATACTAACCTCTACTTCAAATCAGAACAAAATTGTCAATAAATCTTATAATTTTAGAAATATTATTTCCATATTAATTTTGAACAAAATTTTCTTATAACTTTTAAATCACATACTCAAGCAAATTACCCAAAGTTGTAATTTTTTGTTGTTGGTTTGTTGACTTTTGGTGAATAGTGATAACTTTTTAACTTTTTGAGTAACTTTTTGGCTTTTTGGCTTATTTGGGACTTCCCAAACTTAGCCTTAGGTAATGCCAAACTTGGCCTAAATAAGTGTACTTTTTGTCTTTTTAGACTAAAAAGTTGAGGTTGAAAATATGGATGTTTGGGTTAACTTTTTGACTTTTTATGGAAAAATGTGAAATAAAAAAATTGTAAAAATGGATTTGTAGGAGAAAATTAGAATTGGGAGTTGTGCAGCCGTAATTGTTGACTTTTGGTGAATAGTGATAACTTTTTAACTTTTTGAGTAACTTTTTGACTTTTTAGCTTTTTGAGATGTTCCCAAACTTGGCCTAAATTTTATTCTCGATTCAATATAAAACAATCATATCTTTCCTAAGCATCTTTAATTTCATCATGTATTACATTAAAACAAAATCTATTTAAATTTGGAAAATCTGCACATAGTAATCAACACCTACTATATTAGAAATTTGAGTAAATTATATAGATTTTTCCTAAGATTTGATGAAAATACTACAAGCTCCACAATTTTGACCTTAGGCTCCTTAAAATTTTAATTTCAATAACCTTGATTTTTTTATATCAACAATTCATTTTTTATATAGAAATATATATTTTCTTATTTATCTTTATATCTTTACACTATTTTTATTAGTTACAGTAATCTTACTAAAAAGAAAATCGGTGTAATTATGTTAAAACTGTAAATCTTCCTGTATTTTATCCAAACATCAGAAAATATTAGCATAATTTACGCTAAAATTTTTATTTTTTAAGGACATCTCTAACTTTTAACCAAACTTATATCAAATTTAAATTTAAATAAAAATCTATCGAAAACCTCTCAACTCATTGGCTCAAATTTTTATCAAATTAAATTTTATTTTTTAAAAAATCCAAATCAACCAGGACTTGAATGTTTTCTCAAAATTATCAAGACTATTTGTTGTAATTTTAAAATTTACAACTATGTCATTACTAAGATTTTTATTCAAAATTATGCTTAATTATGAATTTATCTATTAATTTTTACTCAATTTGAAATTGAAATTGAGTTTGAAAAAAGGCTGACTTTTTTAAAATTTGAAGTTGGGAAAAAAATGAATGACACACGCATATATATATATTTTAAATTTTATTTATTATCATATTTTCAAACCACAAATCCAAAATTCAATTTCCAATGCATTAGAAAATGAATAAATACAAAAAAAAGACAAAAAGAAAATTGAGGTAGAGAAATTGTGGAATATTTTCCCCAAACACTCCACTTGAAAATAGACCATTTAAGGATTGATCGGATATCAATAGCTATGTGATCAAATCAGTTTTGTATAAAAAAAATAGACGGTGAAAAAATTAACGGTTGATAAAAAAACTATTTTGTTTACATAGCTATCGATATCCGATTAACGTAATTTTTTACAAGCATATAGTACTCAACGAGTTCTACACATTGAACGGTTCGGATGATCAAAACGGGACCTGTGGTGGTCCCCCACGAGCCCAACAGTACGGTCCAGTCCGATCTTAGACTGGACCAAAGCCACTGCCTTTATTCAAAATTATGCTTAATTATGAATTTATCTATTAATTTTTACTCAATTTGAAATTGAAATTGAGTTTGAAAAAAGGCTGACTTTTTTAAAATTTGAAGTTGGGAAAAAAATGAATGACACACGCATATATATATATTTTAAATTTTATTTATTATTATGTTTTCAAACCACAAATCCAAAATTCAATTTCCAATGCATGGGAAAATGAATAAATACAAAAAAAAAAAAAAAAAAAAAAAAAAAAAAAAAAATTTTCCAATGCATTAGAAAATGAATAAATACAAAAAAAAGACAAAAAGAAAATTGAGGTAGAGAAATTGTGGAATATTTTCCCCAAACACTCCACTTGAAAATAGACCATTTAAGGATTTCCCAAAAAAAAAAAAAAAAGGTGGGGCTCACACGCATATATGCCAGCTATACATACATATACATATACATATATGATGATACTTATATCTTTCAATCTCCCACAAAACAAAACTCCCCTCTTCACCAGAAATGGAAAAATGGAAAAACTCCCAAAACCTTTTCTCTCTCCTCTTTCTCTCACTATCTTAGTCTTTCTTCTCCCTCTATCTCCGCCGCTTCGTCTGCAATCTTAGACACCACTTTTCACTTTCTCTCTCTAAAATTCACATTTTGATCACCCCCCTCCAAAAATCACTACCATCACTTTCTTTCTCCTTCTTTCTCGAGAAAATGGCAAAACCTCATCTGGGTTCCATGCTTTTCTCTCTCTTCTCCCTCCTCTCTTTCCTCGTCTCGGTTCAGTCTCAGTCCAGCTCAACCGACGCTTCAGTAATGCAGGACCTGAAAACCAGCCTCAACCCACCGAGTTCACTCGGCTGGACCGACTCGAACCCCTGCAATTGGCAACACGTAGTTTGCTCCAACGACGGCCGAATCACCCGGATCCAAATCGGGCATCAAAACCTCCAAGGCTCTCTCCCTCCCTCAATCAACAAACTCACTGCCTTACTGAGATTCGAGGTCATGTCCAACCAACTCACTGGTTCGCTCCCGAGTTTCGCCGGGTTGAACTCGCTCCAGTATCTCTTGCTCAACGACAACAACTTCTCTTCCATTCCCTCCGATTTCCTTTCCGGCTTAACCTCTCTCCAACAGGTATTTCTCGATAAAAATCCCTTTTCGGCTTGGCAAATTCCGGTAACTTTCCGAGACGCCTCAACTCTCCAAGTCTTCTCGGCCGTTTCCGCTAACATCACCGGAAAAATCCCCGATTTTCTCGGCGGCGACACCTTCTCGAGCCTCACGACTCTTCACTTGTCTTTCAATTACCTCGAGGGTGAGCTTCCTGCGAGCTTTTCGGGTTCTCCGATTCAGTCTCTGTGGCTAAATGGGCAGATGAGTAGTTCTAAGCTCAATGGCTCAATTGCTGTGATTCAGAACATGACTCAATTAACCGAAGTTTGGTTACAATCCAATTCCTTTTCGGGCCCTTTACCGGACCTTTCGGGCCTTACCATGTTGCAGAATTTCAGTGTGAGAGACTGTGCGGTTACGGGTCCGGTACCAGATTCTTTTGTGAATCTTCCATCGCTTAGGGTTGTGAATTTGACAAACAATCAATTGCAAGGTCCAACCCCGAAATTTCCCCCTTCTGTTGGGGTTGATTTGATTCCTGGAACAAATAGCTTCTGCTTATCTGATCCCGGAGTTCCGTGCGATCCCCGAGTGAATACATTGCTTTTGACTGCGCAATCTGTTGGTTACCCGACTGTTTTTGCGGCGAATTGGAAAGGTAATGATCCCTGTGCAGGGTGGTTGGGGATCAGTTGTAGTAATGAAAACATTACTGTTGTTAATTTTCAGAAAATGGGTCTTACGGGTACGATTTCTCCGAATTTCTCTTCGATTACTTCGTTGCAGATACTGATTCTTGCTAATAATAATTTGACGGGTACTATCCCAAATGAGCTTACAACTTTGCCTAATCTTAAACAATTAGATGTTTCCAACAATCAGCTTTATGGGAAAATTCCATTGTTTAAGAGTAATGTGCTTGTAAAAACTGATGGCAATCCTGATATTGGGAAGGATAGTGGTGGTCCGGCTCCGGGGACACCTGGAACCCAAACACCCCCAGGGAGTACACCTAGTACACCCTCGAATAATGGTACGAAGACTTCGGGAAATAGTGGCGTTTGTGCGGTTTTCGCTTTTGGGGTCGGATTGTTCTGTGTTTACAGGGCTAAACGAAAGCTTTCTGGTAGGGTGCAGAGTGAGACATTTACTCATGGAAGTAGTGGACCCAGTAACATTCATGTTATTGAATCTGGAAGCATGGTGAGGGACACCTGGAACCCAAACACCCCCAGGGAGTACACCTAGTACACCCTCGGATAATGGTACAAAGACTTCGGGAAACAGTGGCAATAAGTCTTCGACTGGTGTGGTTGTTGGTTCGGTGATTGGTGGTGTTTGTGTGGTTTTTGCTTTTGGGGTTGGATTGTTCTGTGTTTACAGGGCAAAACGAAAGCATTCTGGTAGGGTGCAGAGTCCCAATGCCATGGTGGTTCATCCTCGCTTTTCAGGATCGGACCATGATGCCATTAAGATTACTATCGCTAATTCAGGTGTTAATGGCGGGACAACAAGTGAAACATTTAGTCATGGAAGTAGTGGACCTAGTGACATTCATGTTATTGAATCTGGAAGCATGGTGATCTCGATTCAAGTTTTGAAGAACGTGACTAACAATTTTAGTGAAGAGAATATATTGGGAAGAGGTGGATTCGGAACTGTTTACAAAGGGGAGTTGCACGATGGGACCAAGATTGCGGTTAAGAGGATGGAGTCAGGAGTGATAACTGAGAAGGGTTTGGATGAGTTCAAGTCTGAGATAGCTGTGCTTACGAAGGTCCGACATCGGCATTTGGTTGATCTTCTTGGATATTGCTTGGATGGAAACGAGAGGCTAATAGTTTATGAGTACATGCCTCAAGGGACTCTTAGTAGGTTCTTGTTTAACTGGAAGGAGGAAGGGTTGAAACCCCTTGAGTGGTCTAAGAGGCTGACCATTGCTCTTGATGTGGCCAGAGGTGTTGAGTACTTGCATGGTTTAGCCCATCAAAGTTTTATTCATAGGGATCTTAAACCATCCAACATTCTTCTAGGAGATGATATGCGTGCTAAAGTAGCGGATTTTGGACTTGTTCGTCTTGCTCCAGATGGGAAAGCTTCAGTTGTAACAAAGCTAGCAGGAACTTTTGGGTATCTTGCACCAGAATATGCAGGTACTCTTTCTAAAACAAATATTGCTTTTAAATTATAATTTGCATAACTATTATTCACTTAGTTTTGGAAATTGGTATGCCTATTGTGTCTGAAATAACCAAAACACTCTAGTTTAATTGAATTTTCACAGCCGTAATCAATGGGGAAACACCAAACCAATACGGGGATGAAACACTTGAACATGAAAAGCAACTTTAGCTAGTTGTTTGAGTGTTTTGAAATAGCACTATTAGCAGGATTGGATTTGTTACGCTAAACATCTTGGCCTTTACATTTTGTGCAACCTGTTATTGTTGAAGCTAATGTCTTAATCTGACTTTTCAAAATTTGGAGATGATTACATAGTGACATGGACTATGTGGATGATGGGATGTATTTTGAAAGATGGACTAATGTCACAAAATTGGGGCCTTGAAGCATGTTTATTTCAACATATGCTTTTCAGCCATTATTTGCCATTACATATGCACGAATACAAATTTTTTCTGTAATTAATTGTCATGTAATTATCAGCTGAGGTTGAACTGTATATTATTTTAACTTAAAACATGACTGTAACTTTCACCTTAAAACAAAAGGGCTTACCTCATGGAGCGCTCTTTCTCTCCATCTGTCTCTCTGTCTGTCCCTTTTCCATTTTTTTTTTTTAATGACATTAAATTGAGCCTTGCAAGACAGGATGTACTTTGGTCAATAAGACCATATTGGTGTATGATATCAAGTTGAAAGAAATCAAAATTCTTTTTTTGCTCCACATGAAATATTTTACTTATGTTCTGTTTACAAATCTAGAAATTAGAGTAGGATTGTATTTGTAAATTATAATCAAATTGTTTCATTATTTTATCCATATCTGTTTGATGGCTCCATACAGAAGATGAATAATTGCTTCTTTGGTTTGAAAACTTTGGCCGGGTTGACCAATTGGGCATTGAAAATTCCGCGTTTTGAATGTTCAATGTGTTTGCATGCGCATCATTTTCTCTGTTTATAGGTCTTATTATGTATCTCATGAAATTAATAAAAATTGAAACTAAAATGTATGTATGAATGGGCAGTGACGGGGCGAGTAACAACCAAGATTGACGTGTTCAGCTTCGGAGTGATTTTAATGGAGTTGATTACGGGAAGAAAAGCACTAGACGAGACTCAGCCAGAGGAGAGTGTTCATCTTGTCACATGGTTCCGAAGAATGCATAACAACAAGGACACATTCCACAAGGCCATCGACCAAACAATTGAGCTCGATGAAGAAACGCTCGCCAGTGTCAGCACCGTTGCTGAACTGGCTGGACACTGCTGTGGAAGAGAGCCCTTACAAAGGCCTGACATGAGTCATGTAGTCAATGTGCTTTCATCTCTGGCTGAACTCTGGAAACCATCGGACCCTGATTCTGAGGACATATACGCAATCGACTTCGATATGACGTTACCGCAGGCACTCAAGAAATGGCAAGCGCTTGAGGGCATGAGTGGCATCGACGGTTCTTCATCTTCTTTCCTTACCAGTGGTGACAATACCCAAACCAGTATACCCACTAGGCCATCTGGCTTTGCGGATTCATTTACGTCTGCAGATGGGCGGTGAGAAATTGAGAATAGCTGAAGTAGCAAGACTGCCAGAGGCTAGTGTTGTTGTGATTGATGGCTCTTGCGAGGTTCGGTTTGTTCATTCCTTTGCTCTGCTTCCTTTCTTGTCACCTTGTTTGCTCTTGTAAGGTTTGCTCTCTTTTTTTTTTTCCTTTTGGTAGTTTGCTTAACTTTTTGCGTTGGTTCAAAGTTTGAACTGCCATATACTTATTTATATTCCCAGAAGTCTTGGAAATGCGAAGAGAAATTATCAGAAGATATGTGATCTGGCTTTAGTGAAAATCATATTCTTATTCACGAAGTTTGGTAGGTTTTGATTGAATGAATACATTTGAGCATGACTAGAATGTTGTTGATGATCCTAGTGTGTAATTTGTGGTATCTAACAGAGCAATGTATATATCCATTTTAGCTTATGCTTATATCTATTACACTTGAGCATGATGCTCTTCATATGACCTTAAACTTTTCAAATAAACAGAGCATACATTCCTTGAGCTTATTTTTTTAGTTGAATATCAAGTGGTACATTTGGGCACGATGTTGAATTCTCTATTTCACGATGTGTCTCTTTTATTTAATTGTATAGTGAAGAAGGGCTTGAAATAATGGACAGGAACGATCCCAACAAAGGTTTTGTCCTTACAAACGTGTCAATCACAATGTCGAGTCAATTATTATTATAATTATTTGGAAAATGTTTGACTGTAAAAAATTCTTCACAATTTAACCTATAATGATATGATATGATAAGTGTTAGTTTTGATTGATCATACATTCAATTATATGAGACTTGTCACTTTTATCACATCATTATGGATGCACTTGTGGGTGTAAGATGTGAGTCTCTAGCGAAAAGTTATTGATTGGTTTTGGGATATCGTCAGGTGATATCTAATGGTGTTGTGATTAGTGGAGATAGTAAGATTTACAAATTTGTATTAGATGATTGGACAATAAAAGGAGACATGATAAATTGAAATCGATAAGGGATGTGATACTCTTTAACCAATCAATAATTTTTCGCCTCTAGCATTGTTGGAATGACCTCAAGGAATAATTTTTCGCCTCTAGCATTGTTGTTGGAATGACCTCAAGGAATTATTACACCGTGTGTTACTAGAGTACAATCATCATTTTTGTGCCATATGTTGGCATGCGAGTTCAACTTGTAAAAATTGATAATTAAAAAATAAAAGATAAATTATCTTTTACATCAAATTTTATTTTGATTCTTACAAATAAAATTGTGCCAGTCAATCTTTTATATTTTTAGTCGGATTTGGGGTGATTGTTTTGCGGGGTGCACAACAGCTAACAGCTACTGTTGTGCAGCCAAATGGTCCAATTTTGATAATTTGAATCGTTTATATTTTAGAATACATAAAGTAAAATATACCTGTAAAAAATTAATTTAATTGGATATCGTTTATCTTTTCATCCACTCACATTTGTATCTATAAAAATAAATAACAATTGAGATTAAAGTATTAAAATGAATACAAATGTGTGTGGATGAAAGGGTAAACGATATTCGATTAACTTGATTTTTTGCAGGTATGTTTTACTTGATGTATTTTAAAATGTGAATGGTTCGGATTATCGAAATGGGTCTCGAAAAGGGCCCATTTGGTTGCACAACAGTGACTGCTATGCACCCAATACAACAGTCACCCCAAATCTCTCCTAGTCAAATGTCAATGTCTATATTTCGTTATACCATTGTTTAAATTTTTAACAGAATTTAATTATGTGACAAATTTCTAACTACGAAATAGGGGCAAAAAAGAAAATCATCTTCATTATTCACCAATACAAAACTTTGTTTCATGTGATAAGTATGTAAGAGCTATATCTTTTGAAAATTTAAAAGGCAAAAAAACAAGAACAAAATTGAAGAGAAAGGGAGAGGAATAGACGAAGGATTGTGTTATTGTGGAAAATAGAACTTCTTGATTTCAATTTTTGTAAAATTCCAATTTATCTTCTTAATTGTTCATAATTTGGATTTTGTTTTAGCCAAATATATCATTATTTTTTGCAAATTTTGGAATGAAAGGCATACAGGTGGGAAATGGGAGTAATTTTTTTCTTTTGCGTTTATTTTGTAATTGAGAGGGTAATTTATATGAAAATTGGGCCGAGTTGGCTAATGGGCCGTTATGGGCCACAGTAGTAAGAGCTGAGTAAAAAGGCTGTAAAGTTACTGCGGCCCAAGAGAAATGTAATGTTACTCCGGTCCGGAAGCGACTTAGAGTTAGGCCGGTTGGAAGACGCTTTGAAGTTAGACCGGTCTCAGAGTTAGCCCGGTCACGACGTATAGTGGTTAGACCGGTTAGAACCTTGCTACTCGGTAGCTCGATCTAACCACGCCATTCTTTGTACATGAGGAACCGAGATAAGGAGTAGTGAAAAGGAGAACCGAACTAAAGACGGTTCGGTCTACTCTGTGGCTCGGCGTGATCATGATTACTTCGGTTATATTGGAGTTCGGTCATGATAAAAATCATTTCACTTGGTTTAAACAGTGAGGGGGGTATTGAAGGGTAAGCATTATCTTTCAGGAGTATGAATCCTAGGAGGACTCTGCATGGAGGAGTAGAAGTCCTACTAGGATTGTGCCACGCGAAACCTATAAAAGCTCACAAACATCACCTTTGGAGAGGTAACATAACTTTGCTTTCTGAATACACAGAGCTTTTGTCTATTTGTCAAGTTTACTGACTTAGGCATCGGAGAGGTTTCCGGCACACACCCGCCGGCTAGCTCACGTTTGTGTTTTCAGGTAATAAAGCGACGACGTACGGAGGAGCGCATACTTGATCAACAGGATTATACGAGAAGGTTTATTTCTTTCCCGTACGGAGGAGCGCAGACTTGATCAACAGGATTATACGAGAAAGACAGCTTTCCTCTACCACGAATAGATCAACTGGTCGACCTAACGGCGGGGCACAACCGACTTAGCTTTCTGGATGCATACAGAGGCTACCATCAAATCGCCATGCATGAACCAGACCAGGAGGTCACATCCTTTATAACTCTAAGAGGACTATACTGTTACAAGGTCATGCCCTTTGGCCTAAAGAATGTAGGGGCGACATTCTAACGGATGGTCACCAAGATGTTTGAACCATTGTTAGGCAGAACAATGGAAGTTTACATCGACAACATGGTGGTCAAGAGCAAGGATGAAAATGACCATCTCAAGGACCTAGGCGAGATGTTTGAGATCCTGAAGAAGCACAAGTTGCGCCTCAATGCGTCCAAGTGTGCATTCGGAGTAGGATCTGGCAAATTCTTGGGTTTCTTGGTAACCAACCGGGGTATAGAGGCAGACCCCTCCCAGATCAAAGCAATCTAAGATTTGGAGAGGCCTAACTCGGTGAAAGAAGTACAGCATCTCACCGGCATGGCGGCTGCACTCAATCGATTCATCAGCCGGTCGTCAGACAGACTACGACCATTTTTTCAAGCTTTAAAAGTCAAGTTCGAGTGGGACGAAGAATGCGACCGAGCTCTGGAAAGCTTGAAGGAATATATGTCTTCCCTACCACTACTTGTTACCCTAGTACCTGGAGAAGAACTTTTCTTGTACCTGGCAGTCTCTCAGCACGCAATTAGCGCAGTGTTGGCTCGTGCAGAAGGAATCCAACATCTGCCCATCTTTTATGTCAGCAAGACATTGCTGGGAGCCGAAACAAGGTACTTGCCATTGGAAAAATTAGCATTGGCCTTAATGATGGCCTCCAGGAAATTGGCACACTACTTTCACACCCACACTATAGTCGTCCTCACAGCTTTTCCACTAAAAGCTTTGTTTGAGAGGGCGAACTTTCCTGGGCGAATCTTGAAGTGGGCAGTAGAGTTGGGACAATTCGATATCAAGTTCCAACCCAGAACCGCAGTAAAGGCCCAATCTTTGGCAGACTTCGTCGCAGAGTTTACTCCTAGAAGTCATCATATCTGCCCAGTCGACCTAACTGACACAACTGAACTAGGGATGGAAGTTGACGCCGGAATAGCGCAACCCCTAGCAGAAGGCACTCGGTCAGACTCCAAGGTAGACCAGACTAAAGACAGCAAGGAAGAAGCAAACAAAGACTCACCAACAAATAAAGACTTGGTACAATCAGATAGCGAGGGGCAGACAGCAAGCATGGACCTTGAAGAAAACACCAGCAATATTCTTGACCCCACGACATCATCTGACCCCTCCACTTGCTGGAAGTTGTTCGTTGGAGAGATGTGGAAGCTTTTTGTGGATGGAGCATCCAACCGGTATGGTGCAGGACTTGGCATAGTCCTCATCTCACCAGACGGCCTGGTTGTGGAGCAAGCAATCAACCTTGGCTTCCCAGCATCAAACAACGAAGCGGAGTACGAAGCACTCCTTGCAGGACTCAAAACAGCATCCTACATGAAGGCCACCGAACTAATGGTCTACAGCGACTCACAGCTGGTGGTAAACCAAATTTCTGGCGACTATGAAGCAAAGGATGATAGGATGGCCAAGTACCAAGAATTGGTTAGAATAGAGATCAAGAAATTTGAAGTAGTGAGGATTGAACAGATAGGCAGGGAAGAGAACAGCAGAGCAGACAAACTAGCAGGCTTTGCTTCAATAGCAGATACATTCATCCCTCATTCATTGCTTATCGACTACTTACCAAGACCAAGCATCGAAGACCCCGAAGCAGAAGAAGTATGCTGCGCCGATCTAGGCCCCTCATGGATGGATCCCATCATACTATTCTTGAAAGATGGCGTCCTACTGGAAGAAAAGAAAGAAGCCAACAAAATTAGAGCAAAGTCACAGTGATTTTGGCTCTCTCCATCTCTGGCATTATACAAAAAGTCGTTTTCAGGACCCTATCTAAAGTGTGTCCACCCCAGCAAAGTGGAAGCATTCTTATACGAGATTCACGAAGGGGTGTGCGGAAGCCATAAAGGAGGAAGATCGCTAGCTTACAGGGCCATTTCGCAAGGATACTGGTGGCCATACATGCAAGAAGACTCAGAGAAATATGTGAAGAAGTGCGAGAAATGCCAAAAATTCGCACACCAAATACATCAACCAGCTAGAGAACTCCTACCATTGACTAGCCCATGGCCTTTCGCAATGTGGGGCTTGGACATAGTAGGACCACTTCCAACAGCACCCGGCAACAGGAAGCCTGAAGAACGCAGGGGCAACATTCCAACGAATGATTACCAAGATGTTTGAACCATTGTTAGGCAGAACAATGGAGGCTTACATCGACGACATGGTGGTCAAGAGCAAGGATGAGAATGACCATCTCAAGGACCTAGGCGAGA